TTTTTTTTTTTTTTTTTTTTTTACTTACAATCTGCAAACTTTTTAGTGACAATATTTTTTTTTAATATGGTTGACATTAAACCCCTAAATTTGAACCCCTCTTTCTAACCACCGCCACCCAAGGGCTGGCAGAAGGGCTATATTTACATTATGCAAAACATATGTCACTAAAAAAGTTTGGTTGTCAGTAAAAAGTTTGCAGTTTATCATTTTTTTTAAAGTACTGGGTTGGCAGCCCTGGCCTAGCAGGACAGGCTACCACAAAAAGCTTTTCTCACTTAGTCTTAACTAGGCCTCTTGGTCTAAACTGAGACCTGCTTATGTAACTGCATGTGGACTGGACTACTCCCAAGCCAATTTTAGCAAACAAGAAGTGCTCACAGAATTTTACCAAATCAAGTGCTGTGCAAAGTACGGTCTTGTTTTGTGGACACCACTGCTCAGATCTGTGTTAAGTGGCCACTGTGTGAAAACTCTACTGGAAAAAGGTCGTTGCCTCACAAACACCATGGGGTGATGCAAAAATCTTGACTCTGGTTTAAAAGAACTAACATAACTATTTTAAGGGATCTTGCACAAAAACACTGCCTGTGATCTATGCTAGTTTTTTTACTTTATGCACTTGAGCCCATCAAGAGAAGTAGCACCAAGTTAGGGACCCAAGAAACACCATGCTGTGATATATTGTCAAGGATAGCTACATGGTTTTTACTGGCAAATTTTGCACAACAGTGACGGTTGGATCTTTTAGAGCACAGACAGACGTGACAATTTTTGACAATTTGGCCGCAGAAAGTAGTCTACAACCATGACCAAATACATGTGCATGGCTGCAGACAGCTTCAAAAATGGCTGATCAGGTGAAAATCTGAACCCTCATTGCATGGGGGGTCAGATGAAGATGTTTCAACACAGAGCATCTTCTGTAACTTCTGTCTGCACTGCCAGCCTGTCAGTGTTTTCAGAATGGGAGGTGGGAAAGGGAATGAAGGGAGTCTGAATCTTTTTCAGCCCCTGTTAGAGGGTAGGCTGGGTGTATTGGAGACTCCCTAAGGTGGAGAAGCTGCAATTCATACATCCCACCCTCCAGCACCAGCAGGGGAACCCCAAGAAGGAGCTCTTCCTGCTCCCTTTCCCCTTTCCCACTCTGAAAAATCTGCAGCCTTACAGGGAGGACGGGCTGTTGCTAGGGGATGCCGGCTGCAGGCTGGCAGCCCAGCAGCTAGATTCCCCTGGAACCAAGAGTGAACTTCTGTTTGTTCCAGGGGATCGTTGCAACTTAGAACACTTCCTGCAAAACGCTCAGTTACAGCAGGGAGCTGCACTTCTGTCTGCACCTTCATTGGCTGTTGGACCCTGTAGTCTTATCACCCACACTCTGGCAGTGTATAGGTGATGGGTTAAAAGGGAAGTGTGGGTTTGTGGAGGAATGGAGGATGGTGACTGTATTAGCCTTGACTGCAGTGCTGTGGTTGTCAAAACTGCCGTGAATTTCTTCTTGATCTCTCTCTGAGGCAGGAGTCGTAATTACTTTCACTCTCATCTTAGACTGCACTAGTTGTTGTGGTCATAAAATTAGCCTGCCCTTTTTTTAAAAACTGTAGCTACAATTTTAACTTTCTGGTCTTTCTCCTGATGAACTAACCCCAGGATGATTACATGGCCTAAAAATGAATTTACTTACTCTAAATTTACTTAGTCCTTTTGTTCTTAAATTATGGGGCATCTCCAAAATGGGAGTACTAGCCACTTTTTACTACAGATGCCATAATTCTGGTTACCTCTTTCAAGTCCTTTTCATCTTGACGCAAGACCTTTTTCTTACTGTGTACAATGCTTAGTATAGTAGGGTCCTGATCTCATTTAAGGGCCTCTAGGGTATTTTATACATGTGCTCCAGGAGTGTGGGGAAGGGAAGAGGGCACTTTAATTAGAGAGGCTTTGAGAGCCACTCTAATTAAAGCACCTGGAGCACCTCATGTATCAGTGGCCCCACACTTCAAAATGGTGGCGAGGGCACTTTATCTAAAGCTCATCGAACAAACTTTAGATAAAGCACCCTCACTGCCATTTTGAAGTGCAGACGCTGATACATGAGATGTGGGAGGCTGCTGGAGCACGGTAATTGCCATGCTCCAGCAGACTTGATTAATCAGAATTAAAGCCTGTTGGAGCAGCCTCCCTGCTTGTGTATAGGCACCCCTAGTGTCTAGATACTACTGTTAATACAGACAATGCATCAAAAAACCTTCTTGCTTCTGAAGCAAGAAGCTCAATAAGCATTGTCTTAAAATAGCTGTATAAATCTCTCACCACATTTAAGGCCTAGTACATTCATCACCTGTCTCTGGACCTTTGCCAGCCCTCAAGTACAGGGGCAGCAGCTATCACAAACCCTTGTGTATATATATGCGAAGGGGCTCCACAGTTTTCCTTATACCCCAGTGGAAGTTCCCCGGCTCTATATGGCTAAGCTGGCTTTGGGGCAGACCTATTCTGGAAGAGAAGTCCATGGTGCTACAGAGGGTCCTCTGGGTCACGCTTGCTTCCTTTTGTCTTCGGACTAACAAAACCTGGCCTGTTTGGGTAGCCCATTATCCAGCACTCTCAGGATACAGCTGAGGTGAGTCCACTGCTTGTGATTGCATCTCTTCTCATACTTCAACATTCTTTAATTGTCTGGTTAGTCCAGTCTACGTGGAGTGTCTGTTGCAAGCATCTGCAATGAATGCTGTTTAATTTAACTTCCCTTGCATAGACTTCTTGCTCTTCCATGATTCCAAATGCTATGGCAACCAGCTTAGGATGTGAGGTTGCTTAGTTTCTCAGTTTGGGTCCTGAAGATCATCCAAGTTGGGCTGTCTCAGATCACACTGATTTTGCTTTGGTGAGGCAGGTGTTGTTCTTTAGTCTAAGATAAGATTTGTTATTTTCTTAGCTTTTGTCAGCTGCAAAGTCTTTATTCATCTATGCATGGGGTCTAAATTTGAGGCCTCAAGTAGTGTTCAGTAACTTCCATTCCTTAGACAAATGCGTAAACTATCTGTAATGACCTGATTAAAACAGAAAAATACAGCTTGTCTATCTGGGTATAGGAACTAGAACTTAACAAAGGACGTGTTAGGGCATCAGTGGGAAGGAGCATAATCTGCTACTAAGCATTGGCCTCAGACAGTATTTAAAATCAAGCTTAGTTAAAAAACACATTTCTTTATCTGGTTTCCAATTGTTCCACCTTGCAGGTTTACAGCAGCAGCCAAGAAGCACCGCCACCCCTTTGCATACCTCCCATTTGGGGCAGGTCCTCGCAGCTGCATTGGTTTGAGAATGGGTTTGCTTGAGACAAAGATGACCCTGCTGCGGATCTTGCAGAAGTTCAAATTTGAAATGTGTCCTGAGACCCAGGTTTGTACAGATGAAGGTTTAAGGGAAGCACCTGTTGGCTTGGGAAACATGCCTGCCTATTGTGTTGAGGAACACTGGTGTGGCTTCAGGCAATAAAAATGCCAGACTGAGTTGCAATATTTTAACCAAAACAGCATTTTTATAATTTATTATGTTTTTAATCAAAACAAAATTATCTGCACCCTGCAGTCCAGATCTGCAGATGGCCCAAAGCAGTGTAGTATCAATGGCAAATTGTCCTATCAACATGTTTGTATCTGTCTTTTTAAATAGATGGGTACTTCAGTATATGCATGTTACTAAATATGACAAGTGCTATATCTTCAGCAGCTCTAAAGAGCTTTTTCTATGCTATTTATACAATGCACCAATAGTCATTGTCTCAAGTCTCTATTCATAAATTATATTTAACATTATGCTGCCAACTGCTGACTATAATAAGGACTCTCTACAATTGCTAGAATAATCCCTACACAAACTAATTCCAGGAAGGGAAACTTTGTCATTTTGTACTTGTGGAAGTTTTACACATACACATTAAGTGTTCAGAAGGTGCAATTTATTTTCTCTTTCAGATTCCTTTGCAGCTGAAGTCTGTAGCTACTTTAAGCCCAAAAAATGGAGTCTACATTAAGATAGTACCTCGATAAAGTAACATCTCCATTCGGGAAACATTCACGGCAGAGGTCTCTTGTTCACCAGCTTGGATGGATTGGGAATAACATTTTCAAAACCACACTTAACTGATTTAGGACCCTAAGTTGTCTTGAAAGTAAATGGGAACATAAAAAAAAAAATCAGTCTAAATCCCATTGACTTTTAATGGAACTTAGTCACCTGAGCCATTTGTGAGCTTTTAAATTTTTACCCAGGTATATTACTGTGAATAGTCTCTGCAAAAACTCCTTATTCTTTGCTGGTCTTATAGATCATACACTTCCTTTTATTTACACAAGGTTTTGTCCAGGCCTTAGTATATGTTAGAAGAGTATGTCACCTTGCCTATACTAGGCTTTTATGATGTGCACTAACTCCTAATCTAGACATACCTTGAGAGGCAGCACTTTGTCTGTTGGTTTTAGAACAGGAATAGGAATCAGGTGAACTTAGATCCTATTCCAGATGCTGCCAAAAAACAGAGAACAAATCATTTTCCAGGGTGCTTTAATACCTGCATCTCTGTAGAATGAAGATGGTAATGCATTCTGCCCTTTGTAAAGTACATTGCGGCATTTATATTAAAGGTTTGCACATTTCATTCAACTTTAGTGTATGATGGATAAGACACCATTTGACATCACTTAAATAAGTTCTTATAACCAAAATCAGACCAAAGCATGCTGTAGCACCTGATTTGCTACTGAATTTAAAATGGTCAGAAGAGCAACAGGAATTTCAAGATTGAGCTGAAGTGGCTGGTGTAGCAGTCTGCTACACCATCCATTAATGCCTTTCTGTGCTTTTCAGCTGGCACCACCAACATTCAGTTCATTGGCTCAGTGGCAATGGAACCTGCCAGAGTCAGTGCCTAAAGTTGTGGGCTGGAAGCAACCCCTGGGGGCAAGTAATTTCACACATGCATTCCTCACTCAACCAAAATGGGAGAGAACTTGTCTGAATATCAGCCCTGGAGACTACGTTTACATTCTGTGCACATGCCCACACTCAAATGCTCTCTATTTTGTACTTCAGGTCCTGTGATTTGGGATCCAGGTGTCCAGAATGCAAATATTTCTTTTGTGTAAATATGCTGAAGTATTTTAAAACCCCCTTAAGTGGTAGGCTATTGACAGCCCTTGTCCCTCTGCTTTACCTGTGACCCTTTGGGGTAGTTTTGGGTAGTGTGCATTGTAGTCGTGTGATAAGGTTGCGTAGGAGGGTTAGAGAAGCACTGATATGGGGTAGCAATGATTCTGCCTTGAGGAGGGGTTGGGGTAGATGACCTTCTGACGTCTCTTCCAGCCCTTCTTTTCTATAATTCTTATGTCTCTAGGAATCAGCTGGGGCAAAGTTTTAATTCGCCGCTCTCTCTAAGTCAGTGGCTCCCAACCTCGGGCCATGACCCAAATCAGGGGTGCAGGGGGTTCACCCCTCTCGCCTGTGGGGCTCTCCTGGCACACAGTCCGCATGGCTCTCACTGCCACTGCTCCCCATGATCCCGGCCCAGCCCGGGCTTTGCTGGCGCCACCAGGCATGAGTAAGTTGGTGGCGGGGGTTGCGACCTGGATTTAGGGTCGCAGCAAAAAAAAGTTGGGGAGCCACTGCTCCAGATGCTGCCTTCATCCTCTCCCAGACTGGCTAACAGCCAAGCCAACGTTCTAGGTCACTGCAGGAAGTTCTACCACAAAACCATGGTAGGAGTCAACAGTGTAGACAGCGGGCAGTGATAAAACAGCAGATTCACAAGCACTTGGGGTTTTGGTTTTTAGTTTTCTTTAGGCTTCAGAGCCTCATTTTCACCCACGGCTTAACTTCTGAAGATGGACATGTAGGTTTTATATTTCAGACAGCTCATGACAGAATTCTACCATGACATCTCTGCCCAAGATCTTAGAGGTAAATGAGCTCCCCTCAGCACCAGCTACTATCTGAGCTGAACTCTTATGAGTGCGTCTCAAAACTCTACTTTGTTTAAAAAACAAAATCAGGCTTAAGTTGCCACGTTTGAATCCTTGCAAATAACCCTTTTTGCCACTTGAAGTATATGAAGCCACATGTTGGCTCTCTGGGAACTGGGCTTGTTTGCAGCTGCCTCTGCTTATCTTATCACTGATTCAAGCACTCTTCCAAAATGAGACCAGAGAAAATGCTGTCTCATTCCTTAGTGGTACACTCAGATATATATGTAACAGACTTACCTGCAGAGAAGTGTCACAGTACCAGCAGAAAGGTACTCATCAACTTCAACCCTCTGCTGCTGTTCAGCAATTTTTAGCCATAGTTTAATTATCCAATGGTATATTGAGCCTGTTGCAGTGAATATGTTCGGTTTTCTTCTCTGGCCACGCTTACCAGGGATTGTCTGTTTTGTTATGGGATTTTCTTCTAGCTAGAACTCTAGGCACATAGGACATCTTTACGTGTGCTCAGGGGGAGGGGGCGCTTTAATTAGAGCAGCTCCGAGAGCCACTCTAATTAAAGTGCCTGCGGAGTCTCATGTATTCAGCATCCTGTACTTCAAAATGGGGGCAGGGGCACTTTAACTAAAGCTCGTTGAACAGGCTTTAGTTAAAGCACCCCCACCCCCCATTTTGAAGTGTGGGATGCTGAATACATGAGACATGGAAGCTGCTGGAGCACGCTAATTGGCATGCTATAATTGTATGTGCTATAATTACAGTGTATTGAGCAGCGTCCCCATGCAGGAACCCATTGTAACTGTAGGTTGGTAGGGATTTATCTGTACTTCCAATATGCTTTTTGTGTTGTGGGGCATTTAGTGACTTGTTGAAACTTGCCAGTGAAGTAAAATCCTAACTTATCTTTTCTACAAATAACTTACTGTACACACACTACCTTGTATGTTGTACTATTTTTCCAATTACATTTTCTGGTGAGAGCATTATACCTGTAAACTGGAATAATGGATGAAGGCCTCTTACTTCGACTTGAGCACAAAGTATTTGTCTTTTACTGCATTTTATGTACTACCATATAAAAGTCCAGGAAGAGCACAGACCATCTGTAGATGTTTCCTCAGCTTGATGAAGGGTGTTTGTGCCCGAAAGCTTACTAAGAAGAATTTTTCCAACTATTTGAGTTGGTCTAATTAAAGAGATTGCATTTACCCAAAGAACCTTGTCTGACCATATAAAAGTCAGCATCCAAGGTCATCTTTTGTTCCTCTGCCCTTCAGAAAAGTTTTCCTGCTTCCCGCGCCCCCTCCCCCCTACACACTTAAGCTAGCAGGGCCTCCCTTAAAAACAGGACATGCATTGAGCATAAAAAGCTTGTGTGTTCTTTAATTCACTTTTGCATGGACCATTCTGCAGCTGGCCAAGTAGTCTAGGATTTCTTAATATTACAGTTAAAGAGGGCAGAGAAGATAGATGTTTTCACTAAAATTTGAAAACAATTATGGCAAGACAATTATGATTGAAATTGCATTGTGCTTTTAAGGCCTAACTCTCTCTGAAGGGACTTTATCAAATGCGTATTACAGGATGTGTGGGATATGTCCATTAAAGGGTTGTTTTTTTATTCTGAGCCAAGCACTCTAAATACAAGTTAGAGTGAGTTTAACTAATAATGCTTTACTTTAAAAGGGTAAATGAAAAAACTGCAGTAGTCACTGACAGCTGTCCATTTCCTGACAAAGCTGCATAAGGGTGACTGTAAAGAAGGGATGGGTGTTATCTGCAGCAGTATTTGACAGAGAAACTGTCCACAGCTGCAGGTTGAGGGCTTTGCTACATGGTAATTTTAGGCAGCTCCTGGAGCTCTTAACTCCTGGGCTGGCTGCATGTTAACACTTTTAAAGCACTTGTTATGAGGCTCAAAGATATGCCACTTCAGGGAAGGATTACCTCTAATTGACATAACCTTGCTCCTGTTCCGTTGTGTGGCCAATCCCACAGCCATTCTGCTGTTCAAACTGAAGTCATCCAGTATCCTAGGATGCAGTGGCCCCCTCTGCCAGCCTCCTGTTTTGTGGGCTCACACCCTTGGCTCCTTCTGCTAACATTTCCCACCTAATGGATTGTTTTCAACCTATGCTAGAGGTAGTAGGTATAATTCTTATTGTGAAGGGTGAGGGCTCTCCATGCAGAAAAGGGAGCTGAGAAAAGGCAATATAAACAAGGCATCATCCTGCTGCTGCTTTCTTTCCCCCACTCCTAAGGTGAGTGGTTTTTAGGTTAATGTCAGATCTCCCTTTGGGCTATGACAGGTCCAGGTCAGTTCTAAACAAGCAAGCATCCTTAGTGCAGGGAAGTGGTCCCAGGCAGCAACCCTCCCACCCCTAGGAACCATGTTAAGAGCTGAACACTATGGCTGGAAGCTGATCATGATTGTCTCTGGGATGGAGAGGCGG